GGATGCCCCCCCCAAAAAAACCCTTCTCCTCTAAGAGCTCCTGCCTGCAAACCTAAGCCCTCCCCACGGATCCCACCCCATCTTTGAACTGGGACGGTTGTGGACCAGTTTCCCAGGGATTGGCATCTGCACTGGGGGTGGAGATATGGGGTTGCATTGGGAGGAGGCCTCTACAGACTGGGAAAGTTTTTGGGGGGGGGGTAAAGGAGGGTGACACCCCCCCTCCCTTGGCTGCCTGCAAAGAGGATGGCCTCTGATCGCGGCACCACTTGGGCATTGCTGGCAGGATCTCCAGATCTTCTCTCTGCCCAGGCCAAAGATCCTTGGCTGTGTTGCCGAAAAGGGCTACAGAAGGGGTCCCCCCTCCCTCTTTTTGGTGGGTAAAGTTTGTTAAAATCTGTTCATTTGGGAGACCAAGAATTAGAGTCCGGCTAGATCCAGGAAGGACCCTTTGTTCATCTCCACTTGTCAGGGTGAAACTTTTGCTGCCTTTGGAGATCTTTTGCTTAGTGCCTAGATGAGGACAATATTTTTCTTTTTCTTCTTCCTGCTCTGGATTGGCATGCAGGGCTAATTAAGTGCTGGATAGCTCAGTGGCTTGGCATCTGCCTCCGGAGCCAGAGGTTAGGAGTTCGATTCCCCCACTTGTGCCTCGACAGGGGCTGGATTCGATGATCCAGAGGCTCCCTTCCAGCTCTGCGAAAAGATTTCTCTCTCTCTCACACACACACACACACACCGGTCTAAGGTTGCTGTTTGGGCTGTTGGTATTAATAAATTGTATAAGTAATACAATTAAAAAATAAAGTTATGCAGATATTCGAGTTGTAAAGCAGATTCTGCTCTCTTATCACCGGAGACTCTGATGTCGGCTTCCAGAATTGTTTGGCCCCAAAACCGTTCTCAACCTTTGCCTCGCTGCCCCTCATAGGGGTGGCCTAAAGATCTCCCCGTGGTCTCCACCACCATCTGGCGGACTGAACGGTGGCTCCCTTTATTGACTTTTCAGTCTTCTTGCTGGATGGTTATGATGATGGTGTGTCTTTTCCAGAGAGAAGAAGCCTTGTTCCTTTCCATTCCAGTGGCTCTTTTGGAAAAGATCAAGGTGGAAGACTCTGTTGGAGCAGGAGCTAAGAAACCGGCTGGTGAACATGCAAGACAGTGTTAGTGTTGATACTTGGAGACAGCTGGTTTCTCTGGAGGTTTGGAGCAGTGAAGAATACCTGGAAAGAACTGTGGTAGACAATTTACATAGGGGTCCTGTCAGCCCCAAAATCCAGCACCAGCATTTCCGGGAGTTCTGCTACCAGGAGGAGGAAGGGCCCCGAGCGGTTTGTAGCCAGATCCACCGTCTTTGCCATCAGTGGTTGAAGCCAGAAAAGCACACCAAGACGGAGATACTAGACTTGATCGTCCTCGAACAGTTCCTCACTGTCCTTCCACCAGAGGTGGGGATCTGGATCAGAGAGTACAGACCGGAATCCACTTCCCAGGCAGTGTCCCTGGCGGAAGGTCTCCTCTTGAGCCAGGCAGCAAATAGGAAACAGGAAGAGCAGCAGGTGAGAGTTCTGGTCTTTATGAAGGTTCTATTCTTTTCATAAAACTGACCACCCTTTAATCACAGCATGTTCTGTTTATTCTTGAATTTCTTTCTGATGAGCTCCTGAGGCAGATCTCAGTTGCTTGATATGGTTTGTTTCCGGCATGTGAGTAACGTGCCTTGACTGAGTTGCAGTATGTCATGGAAAATTCCACAAACTGGAAAATGATGACGGGATTCTTGCCAATGTGCCTATAGAAAGAAAGAGATCCTGTTCACAAGAAACTGGGGTTGTTGTTTTTAAAATGTTTTCAGATTAAATTAGTTTGATTCAATGAGATAGATAGAGAGAGAGAGAGAGAGAGAGAGAGAGAGAGAGAGAAAGAGATATTAACTAACAGATCAGACAGAGGTGCCTTGTGACTGCAGTGTTATGAGAGTTGTGTATCTTTTCTAGAAAAAAGAAGCATCTTCCCCTTCCATTCCTGTAGCTCTTTTGGATGAGATCAGAGTGGGACGCAGCGCTGGTGCTGAAGCTGGGAGGCAGCTGGATGACATGAAGGTACAGAGCAACGAGGACTTCCCAGAAAGAACGGCAGAGAACAACCTCCACGGGGAGCCTCTGCACCCAGATGTTCAGGGTCAGCATTTCCAGGGATTCTGCTACCAGGAGGAGGAAGGGCCCCGAGCGCTTTGTAGCCAACTCCACCGTCTCTGCTGCCAGTGGTTGAAGCCAGAAAAACACACCAAGACAGAAATGCTGGACCTGGTCATCCTCGAACAGCTCCTGACTGTCCTCCCTCTAGAGATGGGGATCTGGGTCAGAGAGTGCAAGCCGGAATCCACGTCCCAGGCCGTATCCCTGGCAGAAGGTTTCCTCCTGAGCCAGGCAGCAGATAAGAAGCAGGAGGAGCAGCAGCAGCGGGTGAGAGTTGATTTCCATCCAGTGCCCACTTTTTAATGGAATTTATCTAACCAAAGTATGTCCCCCTTTCTTCCTAAAGCCAAAATTGCTTCCTGATCATTCTTTAATTTATTTCTGGGTTAAAAGCAAATATTTTTATTTCCTCGGTTGACTGTCCACATCTTGTTTTTGATGCAGGGATTTTCAAAATCGGCCACCGGCTTCCCTCAGGCAGCGGATGCTCCATCAGACGCGGGACAGAGGCCTCTCCTCCTGAAGAACGAGAAGGGAACGGGTGAAGGGGCTGCCCTGCCATGTAAGAAAACAGCATCTTTTATTTGGACTCCCTCTCCTAGGTGTCCTTCCAGAGTTCTACATTAGGTCCTTTGCAGTCCCATGGACATTTAAGCTTTTGTTAAAACAGGGGGAGCTACCTTTTAAATGAGTAAAATGTTTATGAAGGAAAGAAACATCTTATCCCCTTGGTTTCCCTTGCAGACCCTGGAAGCAGGCTGGGGACTCATCCTCATTCATCTCTTCATTGTGCAGGAATGGAAACAGGCACCGGGCAGCCAGAACAGGTAAGGGGGAAATGAATGGGGAGATAGGGGGGAGGATGGACGGACGCTAGACACCCAGTTTCCTCTCTGGGACTGAAAAAAGCCTTCCCATTGGATTTGCTTTTGTCACCAATTCTTGTGAGGAAATAATGGGACAATTTTACTTCTTTATTTAAATATTTTTACCTTGCCGTTCTCCTTAAAAGGGACCCAGGAAGCCTTAGATCAGGGGTGTCCAACTTTCACCTTCCCTGGGCCACATTAGAAGATGAAAATTTGGTTTGGGCCGCACATACATTTGGTTTGGGCTGCATGGGGGGGGCAGCCCTAGCTGTCCTCCGCAGCCCCGCTCCAAGCACGCTTACCGGCAGCTGCGATCTCAGAGAGCAGAGGCTGCCAGCTTCGACTCCGGCGGCTTTATGGGGCTGGAAGGGGATCCACCTATTGACGGGGA